GTAATGTCCATAGCGTAAAAATTGCAGGTGGGTTAAGCTCACATTAATGTGGTGAAGAGCCTTGCCACCAGATGGCGCTCAACAACCTTTTATTTTTGGTTTTGTTCCAGAAAAATTCTAGTCATTATTCTCAGATAGATTTACCAGACCATCAGGTTTCGTTTCATTTCTGACCCCATTCCCTGCACCATCCTGGACAATTTGGGGCAGTAACATTACTTTTTCCCCGGGGGCATCTGAAACATGCAATTTTTCCATACAGGGCACTTGGAATAATTTATTTTAAAAAAGTATCTAGCTCTTTTCAGCTTAATGCTTTTATTTGCATGATACCAGAGGCACAACAGAAACTTCCAGAAGGGAACACCCTCCCCCCCAAAGACTCCAGTGCTTCCGACAGAGATAAAATATTTCATCAGAAGCATCAGAGCTCAGGGGTTTCAGATTGTGGAAAACGCCAAACAGTCTCCAAACCCCTTTACTTCTTTCACGACCAAAATAAACGTCCGTATTGTCTGTAACCGGCAAAAGCACCAGGCAGTTGAGCATCTGTCCTGCTGTGCAATGAAGCAGGCACCACGAGAGCGGCAACAGGGCCGGGTGGAGCTCGGGGGGGGGGGGGGCCCTCCGAGACAACGACCCGGCGGCTGGTTGGCAGAGGCTGCAGGAGCTCGGTGACATCGCAGACTGAAGATCTTTGAGGGCAGATCCTTGCACATACTGGGGGTCGGGGGGGCAGGGAGAATATAAAACAATCAGACCAATAGGCCAACCTGCCGTGTGCCGTGGGCCGTGTACTTCCGGCCGAAGGTCCTGCAGGCAGTAGAATGTCTAAGAAACTAACACATGAGTGGGTGAACCTCGATTTGAGTTCAAACCCGCTGCGGCCTCTTGTTCAGAGATGCCTAGTTCTAAATGTTCTCCTTCGGTTGTAAGAGAAGATCAGGAGAGGGAGGCAGGCCACAGTAGGACGAGTCAGTGTGATTATTTCTAGGTCATTTCTTTCTTTCTTTTTCTTTTTCTTCTCCTCCTTCTCCTTCTCCTTCTCCTTCTTTTTTTTTTTTTTTTTTAAACCTTTTCCAGATATCACTAGCCACAAAGATTTGTGGGAACTGCACAATTAGATGTCAAGTACATTTCGATGAGAAAAACGGCGTGTGGGGAATATGCATCCTCGCCCACGTACCTGGACAAGACGTGCCCCTTTTGCTTGGGAAAGCTGTGAAATGGGACAGTAACTGAAGGGCTGTTGCTCCACCCAACGGCCAGATTGGGTTCAGAAAAGAAAGATGCTCATGACGAGCCAGCTGCAGAGGCCGCTCCTGTAGGACCAGCTACTGACACTGGTTTTTCAAAAATGGGTCTGAAGAGAGTCATTTGCTCGTTTAGACGTCAGAGCCTGTCTGTGTTTCCTTGGCGTTTTGTCTCCCTCACGGGAATGCAGTCGGGAGGAGGCAAGGGTCAGGTCTGCCTTGTTCTTTGCTGAATTCCCAGAGCCTGGGAGAGGGCGTGGCACGAGGTAGGCGCCCCTCAAATATTTATTTGAGTGAATGAATGAATGAACAAACGAATGAATGAATGAGTGAATGAGTGAATGAACAGACACGGGCCTATCTGAGTAATGAAGGTTACTGGATCTAGTCTTTGCCCTCCTGGAGCTCACAGTCTCCTGGGAGAATCTCCTGGGTCCACCACACAACCTATGTCCTTTTCTAGGCACCCCGTCTGGGCCTGAGGATGCGCCCCTTAAGTTAGTTACGGAAGAGAAAGGCAGTGACGGGGCCAGAGAGCAGGGGCCCCGCGCCTGACCCAGGTTCTAAGCCGCATTCTGCACTGGGGCCAGCATTCATTAGCGGCCAATTTCTTTTCTTCAGTCACCTTTGTTGAGATACAATTTATGTACACAATCTATGGCCAACTTTACAGTAGTCCTTAAAAAAACACAAACGGGATCTGGTTTGGAAAGAGAGAACATGACTGTGCATCCAGAAATGCTGGCGGAGGATTTTTGTTTGATGAAATTCTCCACGAGTGAGCCAGCAGCTACCCCTCGGCTTTGGCAAAGGCCTCAGGGTTT